CCCATAGCGCAGCACTCCTCCATGGGCCGGGGGGAGGGGAACAACAAACACCCGCTTTGTGCCCCACAGATCTATGGGGCAGCCCCATAGCGCAGCGCATCCCCCTCCCCACACACCCGCTTTGTGCCCCATAGATCTGTGGGGCAGCCCCACAGCACAGCACATCCTCGGGCCCCTCTGTGTGCCCCACACCCATTCGTGCCCCACAGATCTATGGGGCAGCCCCACAGCACAGCGCTCCTCCATGGATTGGGGGCGGGACCCTCTGTGTGCCCCACAGATCTATGGGGCAGCCCCATAGCACACTGCATCCCTGAGGCCCCTCTGTGCCCACACCCCCCTCCACCTTGTGCCCCACAGATCTATGGGGCAGCCCCATAGCAGCGTGCTGCGGGGCGGCGCTGTGGGTCTGGGCTCAGTCCGCCTTGCTATGGGGCCGCCCCACAGCGCGGCCGTAATACAGGATCTGCCCCATAAGTAAGGCGTTGCAGGCGGCCGACGCGACGTAGGTGAGGATCAGCAGCGCGTCCCCCGTGTCCTGTGGGGCGGGGGGGGGTGAGGGCTGGGGGTGTGGGGCAGGGATGTGGGGCGCTATGGGGCGCTATGGGGCGCTATAGGGCGCTATGGGGTGCTATGGGGCGCTATGGGGTGCTATAGGGTGCTATGGGGCGCTATGGGGTGCTATAGGGCACTATGGGTCCCTATGGGTCTCTATGTGCCTCTATGGGTCCCTATGGGTCCCTGTGGGTCCCCACGTATCCCTATGGGTCCCTATGGGTCTTTATGGATCCTTATGGGGCAGTCATGGGTCCCTATGGGTCTCTATGTGTCTCTATGGGTCCCTATGGGTCCCTGTGGGTTCCTATGGGTCCCTATGGGTCCCTATGGGTCTCTATGGGTCCCCACGTGTCCCTATGGGTCCCTATGGGTTCCTGTGGGTCTCTATGGGTCCCCATGTGACCCTATTGGTCCCTATGGATCTCTATGGGTCCCTGTGGTCCCTATGGGTCCCTATGGGTCCCTGTGGGTCCCTGTGGTCTCTATGGGACCCCACGTGTCCCTATGTGCCCCTATGGGTCCCTTTTGGTCCCTATGTGCCCCTATGGGTCCCTGTGGTCCCTATGGGTCCCTGTGGTCCCTGTGGGTCCCCCGCCCCCTGGCGGCGCACCTGCACGGAGGTGAAGATCCTGGCGCAGGCGCCGCCCAGCGTCAAAGCGGTGCTGAGCGCCGAGAGCTGCCCGGTGTGGCGCTGCCGCCGGTTGGCCGCGGCCTGCAGGAGCTGCGGGCGGGGCTGCGGCGGGGCGGCGCCACTGCGCCCCACTGCGCCCCACAGCGACCCATAGCGACCCATAGCAACCCATAGCGACCCATAGCGACCCACTGCGCCCCACTGCGCCCCATAGCGACCCATGGCTGCCCCATAGCGACCCATAGCGACCCACTGCGCCCCATAGCGACCCACTGCGCCCCACTGCGCCCCATAGCGACCCATAGCAACCCACTGCGCCCCACTGCGCCCCATAGCGCCCCATGGCGACCCATGGCTGCCCCATAGCGCCCCATAGCGAC